ATTTATTTATTTATCCATCTTTTTGGGCCCATCCACTCCAGATCTGAGGTAACGTTGGGAAAAGGGGATGGGGAAAGATTTTTGGGATCGTCATCCAAGTGAGAAAGCCCAGGGCTTGATTGATTGATTGATTGATTGATTTATCCATCTGTTTGGGCCCATCCACTCCGGATCCAGGGTAACACTGGGAAAGGGGATGGGGAAAGATTTTTGGGATCATCATCCAAGTGAGAAAGCCCAGGGCTTGATATTTTTTTTTTTCTTTTTTTTGTTTTTTTTTTTTTACCATTTACTCCACAACATAAAACTTTCCCTCCTCATCCTCGCCAGAGAGTTTCCAAGCCGGAGGGCAACTCCCCGAAACGATCCAGCTCCGACTTATCCATCTTTTTGGGGCCATCCTTTCCGGATCCAAGGTAAGGTTGGGAAAAGGGGATGGGGAAAGATTTTGGGATCATCATCCAAGTGAGAAAGCCCTGGGCTTGATTGATTGATTTATTATTTATTTATTTATCCATCTTTTTGGGCCCATCCTCTCCAGATCCAAGGTAACGTTGGGAAAAGGGGATGGGGAAAGATTTTGGGATCATCAACCGAGTGAGAAAGCCCAGGGCTATATTTATTTATTTATCTGTCTTTTGGGGGCCATTCTCTCCGGATCCAGGGTAACGTTGGGAAAAGGGGATGGGGAAAGATTTTGGGATCATCATCCGAGTGAGAAAGCCCAGAGCTTGATTGATTTATTTATTTATTTACATATTTATGTATTCCAAGCGAAATAAATGCTGGACTTAAACCGCTTCATTTTCAAAAGCCTTTAAAAATCCTATTGCAAATTCCAGCTCTAAATCCAGCAGGATTTACCTTAAGAAAAGAAAAAAAAAGGCAATGGAAAAGGGGGAATTGAGCTGAAGCCGCTGGTTCACCGCCGCTTTGGCTCCGGGATGGGCAGCTGAGAACTTCTTGGCTGCAGAAATCGCAGCAGAAATAGGTTTTAATTAACCCGGTGCTTAAAAAAATAATCAGGATTTCAGGAATAGCTCCGAAATTTGCTTTAATTTAATGAAATTTGCTTTTTAATTTAATGAATTTACATGCAGCCAGGAGTGGGGTGTGGCGAGATGGGTGAAGCCTGCAGCACTGGAGCCGGGGGGGG